CTTGGAGTTCTCTTCCAACCAGGTTGAGTCAATGATCCTGTTGGGGACACCAGACCCGTGTGCAGTCAGCCCAAATGAGTCCGATTTCCCGCTCGGATACGAATCCATCTGTGCTCTGCTCCCTCCCAGGTTTTGCACCGACTGCAAGAACAAAGTGCTGCGTGCGTACAACATCCTGATCGGGGAGCTGGACTGCAGCAAGGAGAAGGGTTACTGCGCCGCGCTGTACGAGGGGCTGCGCTGCTGCCCCCACGAGCGCCACATCCACGTCTGCTGCGAGACCGACTTCATCGCACACCTCCTGGGCAGGGCCGAGCCGGAGTTCGCAGGAGGGTATGAGTATGTAGTTGGCTAGAGTGGGCTATCTAGCGCTTTGCTTCTTTATTTGATCCCTCAGTGTCCTTTTGGCCAAGGTGATTTTTGCCTCCTTGCTGCACCATACACCCGTGACCATCCGTCCTCATATTTGTGTTGAGGTAGAGCTTCACTGTAGCGAAGATTCCATCAGTGCTTTTGACTTGCAAGTGCATTTAAAGAAATTGTCTTCTAGTTGATCATTCACTCTTACAGCTGCCTGCTTGTCTGTATTGTTCAAACATGTGAAATGGAAAGAGACCCTTGCTCGACAGCTTTGCCACGTGTTCAGATGAGTTTTGTTGCCATTTGTGTATTAATTTCCAAACCTTTTTTTAAGCATCTGAAAATCTCCCAATGAAAAGTGCAGTTCTGAGCTCAGTAGCATGGAGTGGTTTGGGTTGGAAGGGACCTTAAAGATCATCTAGTTTCATCCCCAGTGGATTTAAAGCTCGATCACAACTGTTTAATTAGGAGAGTAAATCTTCTATAATGATTTTCCCTTAATAGATGATAGATTGAACAGATAGATAAGAGATTAATACCAAATTATTTTTACTTTGTGTGGTAAGTAACGTAGAAACTTCCGTGTGTTTCTTCAGCTTGAGTTAACTGATGGTTAATTATTTGCTGTAAACGGTGCAAATTTTAGGGAACTCAAGAATGTTGGCATCAGTTTGGCATTAAAACTCTTGATCCCTCCTGGGAAGAGCAGGGACTGTGCCTGAAGTGCCAGGTGGGAAGGCACAGTGCTGCCAAGAGCAGTGCTGGCTCTGACCTGGTCCTTTCTGTTTGACATCTGCATGCAGCACAGCAGAACGAGACCGCACAGCTGTTCACGCAAACATATCCGCAGTTGTACACCAAGAAAACACGTCATCCACTGCTTTGATCTCTTGGTAGCCTTCCAGCTGCTCTAACAGTGCTGTGCTTTGCTTCAACTCTTCCTGCAGACGGAGGGAACGACACGCCAAGACAATAGACATAGCCCAGGAGGAGGTTCTCACCTGCCTGGGCATTCACCTCTACGAGCGCTTGCACCGGATCTGGCAGAAGCTGCGGGCGGAGGAGCAGACGTGGCAGATGCTGTTTTACCTCGGGGTCGATGCTCTACGCAAAAGCTTCGAGGTCAAATCAACTCAATTCTTCTTCTGCTTTCTGCTAACATTGGGCTGGAAGGAGCTTCAGGGGTGTGGGAGTCAATCCCTTGCTCACTGTGGGCAGCTGTATGTGGTATCGATGCACAGCACCACTGAGGGTGTCCAGTCTTGGAACACAAAAGATTGAGGCTTGTGTTTGCTTTCAGTGCTCTGAGCTTTCTGTGGTTATAACTCACAGTGATTTCTGGGGGGTTTTTTTCTACCTGATGGCATTTAAAGTAGCTCAGGCTACCATAGTTTTTATTTGGTTTATTGGTAAAAAGTGAAGGATGTGCTTTTGGGTTACAAACACAACTGCTAACTCTTGCATTCAATGTGTTCCAAGTGCACTTTGCATCCCTGAGGCATCCTGAGCTTCAGACAGAACTCCCTGTGGTTCCTTTAACATATAGCAGTAGTTAATACTAGTTAATAGTTGGTATGACATAGATTTTATTTTTTTATGTTTATTTTCCATTCATAATGATCCCTCTAAAAACCTCGAATTGGTTCTTCTCATTTTGTCTCAGAGTTCTCAGAGTGATGTGAGACAAAAACCAAATCAAAGCCAAACCAATGAATTTATTTTTGCCTCTGTGGGAACATTGATCCAGAATAGTTGTCTAGTTTAACTATATTCTGTTCACTCTGTATGTGGATGTGGCATCATGATATTTATTCCAAACTTAATATTAAGGAACTAATTTAGATATTTGCTGTTTTTTGAGATACATCTCCACTTCACACTGGACTGCTTAGGAAATCAGTTAGGGTTTTCACTGGTTATCCTGCACAAAGCTGCAGGAATTCTTGTCACAGTAGTTCTAATGTCTCTTTGTGCTGCTGTCTTTAATAATCAGAGTATCTACCATGTAAACAGATCCAAAAATGCATTAAAATGTGCAGCTTTTCACTGAAAATTGTAAGTGAAACACAGAGCTCCCCCAAACAAGTATCTCCAGCAATCTGAACTGAGTGACTAACTGAATGGGCATTTTCCTGCCATAGTCATTTTGTCACTGTGTCTTTCTTACTGACTCTTTTCCTCCTCCTTTTTTATAAATGTAAAAGCTTGGATGGTGATAACATCTATTAATAGATCTAACCTCCTATAAACAGATGGCTGTGGAAAAAGTGCAGGGTATTAGTCGATTGGAACAGCTCTGTGAAGAGTTCTCAGAAGAAGAAAGAGTGCGGGAGCTGAAACAAGAGAAGAAACGCCAAAAGAGGAAGAACAGAAGGAAAAATAAGTGTGTGTGTGAGCTCCCTGCTCCTTTGCAGGCACCAGAAGAGAAGGAAATCAATCAGGCAAAGGTAAACAGGGATAGCTGGGGCTTTTGGGTGCTGCACTCAGCAGCTCAGTGTTCCGTGGAAGAGTTCTCGGGAGGGTTTTACTGTGTTTCAGGAACTCATTTTGGTCACTGGTGGAATTTAATGCTTGCTCAGCATGGTAAAGGCTTTGTAAAGTATTTACCTGGAGCTCCTCAGCTCTTGGGGGTTTGGAGTTCAGGTTGTGGTGGAATATTTTTCAACTATTATTCCTCAAGATCCCTTTAAATCTGTGAATTCAAGTGCTACCTGTAGACAGTTCCCATTGAATTTCTGGTGGGGGGAAACTTTAATTGACTAAGTGCAATTCTTACTCAGGATCTGTTGAGTGAATTTCATCCCTGACTGTAGCTCAGATAGTTGTGGGCAAAGCAGGTGGTGGTTGGGGTTTTGTTTATTTCTCTTGTACTGGTGAAGAATTCCAAGCAATGCTGTTATCAGAGTCAGCTGCTTTCCTTGTGGAAAGAGAATCCTTTCCAAAGCTGCTGGCTGAGCTCCTTGCAGTGCCTGCAAGTAAGTGTGTTTTGTTTTGGTTTCAAGGAGAACTCAAACTTCACAGAAAGCACTTGCAAAGCCTGTGGTAGCACCGAAGAAGCCAACAACTGTGTAGAAGTAATTGTTACTAATGAAAGCACTTCTTGCACTTGTCCTAGTAGTGGGACCCTATTAGGTTCACCTAAAATCAAGAAAGGTATGTTCAAAGTTTTTTTTTTTATTATTCACTTTTTAAAACACTTAGCATTTGTGGGGTTAACAGTGGTCAGGTCTTTATAAAAATAACATTTTTTTTTCTTTGTAGAATTGGGCTAGTGGAAGGTTCACTCAGGCTTGGGGAAGGTTCCTTTGGTTTAGCAGAACTAGTGTGGCCCTGCCCATGGCAGAGGGGTGGGATGAGCTGATCCTTGAGGTCTTTTCCAACCTGAACCAGTCTATAATTCTATGAATTCTTTTTTTATAGAGTCATAGCTGTAGATGCCAGTAATTTTTGCCTTTGTGTCAGGTTTATCTCCACACTGTACTGGCAGTGACTGTGGCTATTCGTCGAGCATGGAGGGCAGCGAAACAGGATCTCGAGAGGGCTCAGACGTGGCCTGCACTGAAGGCATCTGCAACCATGATGAAAATGGTAGGTTTGGGAAGGATAGAATAATGCTTTAGCATCCTCAGAACTGCAGTAACTGAGGAGAAACCCCCTGTCCTTTTCAGGAGACGATCCCTGCGTCCATCGCTGCGACGACAAGGAGGAGGATGGAGATAGCTGCGTGGAATGTTGGGCTAATGCGGAAGAGAATAGCACAAAAGGCAAAAACAAAAAGAAGAAAAAGAAAAGCAAAGCCTTGAAGTGTGAGAATGAACATGTAAGGAACATGGATGGCTCTGCCAGATGCTTCTTTAAATGGTTTAAAATGAAAGAAGTTGGTGAAGGATTTAAAATGTCAGTTGTGAGTAATGCTGAAAACGGAGTAACAGGGATCTCCTGTTCCCTCTCCATCCAGGGCTGGGATTTAAGGCCCTTCCTGGAGCAGGCTGTGGTGGAATGAGTCTATTCTATGTTCCTGGGCACATGCACTGTTGCTCACTCTCAGTGAATGATGTGCATCCCCTTCCTCCTCAGGCACCTGTTTGAAAACATTTATCCCTTCTCTCCTTCGAACTTCCCTTTTTCGTCCCCCTCTGCTTCCACCCAAAACTTGAACATTCCATGTTTAATACTGCTGGTAGTTCATCCCAGGCTGTTTTCCGTTTCAGATTCAGAAACTTGGAAGCTGTCTGGCAGAGCCAGGTAGCAGAGAGACCTCAGGAAATCTCACGCACACAGAGTTTCATCGCGACAAGACCAAAGACACACACGCTGAGAGCTGCTGCAGCTCAGAAAAAAGCAGCCAGCAGTTGCCTTGGTTTGAGCACATCAAAAATGTGTCACAGTTTGCAGAACCTACAGAAATGTCACTTGTTCCTGATACTGGAAAAGGTGCCAAAAGCTTAGTGGAACTCCTTGTAAGTAACCACTGCCTTGGAATTTTAGGCTGTAGCATCCTGCTGTAATCCTCAGGGCTGAGGGTGGGGCTTGGAACTCACATCCCACTGAGGAACTGTTAAACTTAAGATTTGTGGCTTTTTCTCCCAGTGTTTAGTTCATCTGCTTGTGCATGTTTCCTGGGAAGTTTAATGCTGAAATGCTTTGCAGAGGAGGAGAAGTTGTCACTGGAATGCAATGACAGAACTTGTGTTCTAAGTGTTCATTGTCAAGGATTGCATTATTCTCTAGCATGAAGTGGGCATTATTGCTGCCTTCAGGCCTCAAATGTTACTTCCCACTGCAGGCTCCTTGGACAGCTTTCTTCTCTCTCCCTTTCCTTCTCCTTGTTTGCATCCTTTCCCCTTTGCCCCCTTTTTTTCCCCCTTCCTCTCCCTTTTTCCCTCCCTCCCGTTCTTTGCCCCCTTTTTTCCTCCTTGCTTCCTTTTCCCCCAGAGCCTCTAATAAACCCCATCCTCTTCCCATGGAAACATGCTAAGTCTGACACTGATTGAGATGAATTTCCTGACTGTGTTGGCTGCCCACAAACCAGCAGAGCCCTGGGTGTCTGGATCAGCCAGCAGGGACGTGGGATGCTGTGACAGGAAAGCAGAGCAGCTGTTCACAAGGTGTGCAGCTGCATGCAGGTGATGCTGGAGCTCTGAAAATCCCTGTTGTCATTTGCAGGATGAGTCTGAATGCACTTCTGACGAGGAACTGTTCATCTCCCAAGATGAAATCCAGTCCTTCATGGCAAACAACAAGTCTTTCTACAGCAACCGAGAGCAGTACCGACAGCACCTGAAGGAGAAGTTCAACAAGTACTGTCGCCTCAACGACCACAAGGGGCCTGTCTGCAACAGCTGGTTGGCAACAGCTGGAGCCAACTGAAGCTGATCCCACCACTCTGTCACTGAGACTCGAGATGACTACTGCGCCTTCTCCTTCCAAACTTAATTTAGTGACTAAAAGCAAAATTTTATCTTAAATTAATGTGATTCTTTTCTCTTGGTTTTTTTTTTTTCGGTGGTGGGGAGGCTGGTGGAGGTGATTTCCTTAATTTTGTTCTTTCTCCAGGCTTGTATCCTTAGTTGAGTAGCTGTTGCAAGCCTCTCTTCTAATTTAAGCCATCTCTTTTCATTCAATGTTTCTCTTCCTGTGAGACTTACAAAAAAAAGCAAACTAGTGGCAAAGTAATGTTGTACCTATAATTCTGTACAGAATGACAAGGAGCTGAATATAAGATTTTACAAAGTAGACATCCATTTGCAAAATGTTTTGGATGTAATATGTTAAAGCGCAATGTGCAAAATTTAAATAAAGAATATTTATTAATATGCATAGTAAAAATGGGTGAACACGGTCTGAATTCCTGATGTGCAGGTGGATGACTGTGTGGAGGTGAGGGTTAAGGGGAGGAATCTTGGCCTGGGCAAGGTCAGATCCTTGAAAACCAGCCTGCCAACCTCTGATTCTCCACTGATGTGGGTTGGAGAATCAGTGTCATTGCCAGATTAGTAGAGGCTGTAACAACTTTGCTCTTAATCTCTTTCTTCACAAGCATCCCTGACCCTGGGGTGGGGGATGGCAGCCCCTTCCCAGAGCTCCATCAGTGCCAGAGCTTTCCTCTGCCTTCATAGAGCCATAAAATCAATCAGGTTGGAAGAGACCTGCAAGATCATCCAGTCCAACCCTACCGTGGTCACTAGCCCATGGCACTAAGTGCCACATCCAGTCTCAGCTTGAAAACCTCCAGGGATGGTGAATCCACCACCTCCCTGGGCAGCACATTCCAATGCCTGATCACTCTCTCTGTAAAAAATCTCTTCCTAATCTCCAACCTAACCCTCCCCTGGCAGAGCTTGAGTCTGTGCCCTCTTGTCCTGCTGCTGGTTGCCTGGGAGAAGAGACCAACCCCCACCTGACTCCAGCCTCCTGTCAGGGAGTTGCAGAGGGTGATGAGGTCTCCCCTGAGCCTCCTCTTCTCCAGGCTGAACATCCCCAGCTCCCTCAGCCTCTCCTCATGGCACTTGTGCTCCAGTCCCTTCCCCAGCCTCGTTGCTCTGCTCTGGACCTGGTCCAGCCCCTCAATGTCCCTCCTGAGCTGAGGGGCCCAGAACTGAGCACAAATGTCCTGAACCAAACTTGGGAGCTCAGAACTGAAGTTCGAGCAGATCTTAAGGAGCTTCTATTAAAAACACAGCACAGCTGGGAGAGACACACTGTGAGTAGTGACAT